GCCAATGGCAGCGCTGTAGCAGGGGGACAGCTGAAAACGGAGGCCCCCACCTCTGTTTAATGACGGACGGTCTTTCTTTCTGACATAAAAGCCTGAATTTTGCCTGAAACTCTCAGACTGAAGAAGTCTCTTGGAAGAGAGACGAAACGTTTCATTAAAGAAGAACCCGTCCAGAGGACCTATACAATTTTTTTTCCTTTGATTTTTTACCTGGATTACTGAGATGCATCAGGACACTAATACACTGCACTCCCTCTTCTACAGACAGTGTTCCTACAAACATTTAAATGTATTTCATTTTATTGTTCACATTAAAAGTTATCCCAGGGAACTGTACCTAATTAGTTATTGCCATAAATTATCAAATGCCTATTATTCAAGTTTGTCTATCTAAGGAAGCCAACAGATTGCATTTAATCTTTACTTCATGACAGTTTTCCATCCTGAAGATAAGATAAAAAGATAAAGATAAACCTTTATTGTCGAAATTGTGAGCTGCACATTGGTGAAAGTAAAAAGGAACGACTTTCTTTTAACAGAAAGAAACCTCCAACAGAACCGGCTTCCCAGGGATTGATTTTTCTAGGTTGTTGGAAGTGAGGCTTTGACCAATGGTTTAACCTCAGATCCAGGAGGAGTGATTAGGCTTTCATCCTGATTATGGGACAGTGGACCAGATCTTCACCCTTGCAGTGTTGTTTAGAGGGTTGTGGGAGTTTGACTCTTCGGTCTACATGTGTTTTTTGGACTTGGAGAAGGCTTAGGACCATGTTCCTCAAGGCATTCTAGTATAAGGTGCCAGGGATTCTATTAGGTACAATCCAGTCCCTGTATAACTGAAACAGGAACGATGTACCACAGAGTTGTKCTCATCATTAGTTCAGTTTGGACTGTGCCAGGGTTGTCCCTTTTCTCCAATCCTGTTTGTAGTGTTTAAGGCGCAGTCTTGAAGAAGAGGGAGTCTGGTTTAGGAACCTCAGCGTTTTGTTTCTGCTTTGTGAGATGATGTAATTCTGTTAGTGTCTTCAGTCCACAACTTTCAGCATGCATTGGGGTAATTTTCAGCAGAGTGTGAAGTGACTGGGATGAGAGATAGTCCTTTAAAAGTGAATTTATACTTCAAAAGACATGAGACATTGGTTCTTTCATTACATAGCTTTGGACCTTTTTGTCTCACTGAGTAAGTGTTGTAGTCAAGACCACCTAACCCAAGACCAAGTCAAGACCAGAGTGTATCGAGACCAAGACAAGATCAAGACTTTCTAGGGTTGGTCAAAGTCAAAATCAAGACCGAAGGAAAGCGAGACTGAAACAAGACCAAGACCAAAAAAAAATGGAAACTAGTACCCTAAAGCATACAGAATACTGTACACAGATAGCTAGCTTAATATTGACTAAATTTATTTGTGTGAGGGCTGGTTAAAGAATTTTGGTACAGAGGCAGATTACTAACATTAGCTAGCTTTGCTAACATAATTTACACATAGCTTACTGTACCTTTCTAAGAGATAGTAAAAGTTTAGCGTAGTCCCCACATACTTTGAAAGCCAAGTTCTGCATAATTTACAAGTCGCTGTATGTTTTCTTCTGGATGTTGTTCTACARATATATTATTTATGATTTATGTAGACAAATTATATTACTGAAGATTTTGTAGACATCTTCTCCCACTCTCAGACAACCACTGCTCACTTTCTTGCAGTGCCACATGTGAGTGAAAGGGGGTGTGGATGAGTGACAGCGGTAACAAAATACATAATTAGCAATGAGTCATGCTTGGATTCAAATCCATTCATTTTACATCCCATGAAAGCAAAGATGTAGACAAATAAATTGGACAGTGTTCTGGTAATTTAGTGCTATTTCCACAGTTGTGGTCTTGACTGGTCTAGAAATAAAATTGAAATAAAATTCCGAGTCCAGACCAAGGTGAGACCAAGACATTAAAAAAGTGGTCTCGAGACAGGTCTCAAATACTGCAATACTACACAGAACGTTTAAAGTCAATGAGTCACGCTCTGGGATAAACCATCTTTATTTCTCCCTCTGCCCTCCCACTGTAGCACACATCACACACATAGCCAAACATACAAACAAGAAGTTTGTAGATTTTTTCACTTGACGATATATCAGACTGGTACATTCTTGTGCTCAATAGAACCATAAAAGCTGCTCCTCAAAGCTTTCTATCTTACTAACAGCCAGCTTCTGGGAGCGGACCATTTTCAGCAAAATGACATGCAGTAACAGTTGCTGTTCTGTTTAAACAAACATAGTGTTAAAGTTCTGACCAGTCACATCCAGCGTACCACATAGCCTACAAGACACAGTTCTGACTGGGGCTACAGTATGTTTCAAGACAAGGTGTCGGCAGGTGATAACACGCAAAACCCAGTGAGATGAGAATGGGAGTCTAAATTCACTTTAAGTCTGAGGCCATGGTTCTTAGCTGGAAGAATGTAAAACTCTTCTTCCGGGTTGGGAATAAGTCTCTGCCTCAAGCAGAGGAATTCAGGTATATGAAGGTTTTGTTCCTGAATGATGGCAAGGTGGAGCGAGTGATGAATCAACAGATTGTCTGCAGTTATGAGGGCATCGCTTTAATCTGTCATATTGGAAAAAGAGTTAGGTCAAAAAGTAAATCTCTAGATCTGCTGGTCCATCAATGTTTCAACCTACACTTAGAGTCATGAAGCACAGTCCCTCATCTGAGGGAGCTCGAAGTTGAGGCACCACTACTCCGTACTATGAAAGGTGTTAGCTAAGGTGGTTCAGGACTCTGAGTAGGATCCTGAATGCTTTCTTTGGAGGTTTTTTGTGCATGCCTATCTGGGATGAGACCTCTGGGCAAAAAATAAAAATGCAATAAAATTTTTCTGCACACCCCCACCTTCTACCCCTCCCTCTACACACAGCCCCCTCAGAAGCTGACAACCCAGCAAGAAGCTGAGCGGCAAGCCATCCAGTCCCTGCGAGGAGGCGGAGCTCTAACAGGAAAGTTCCTCTCCACGTCATCCCTGCCAGCAGGTAAATTCTACAGACTTTCTGTATCACCATAGAGTTTTATAAACTTGAATGTTATAAGAGCATTTGGGCGTAGGGACAGCTGATAAATTTGATGTTTAATTACAGGTATTTTATTCTTCTTTCTTCAGGATGGAGATGATTGTTCCATAGAAGCAAAACTCAAGTTGAAGTGCTGCTGTTTTGTTCTTGTTCTTTCAATTTTTAAAGGGCCAGTATTGTGTTTCTCAGGCATATACAGGTCCTTCTTAAAAAATTTACATATTGTGATAAAGTTCATTATTTTCTGTAATGTACTGATAAAAATTAAACTTTCATATATTTTAGATTCATTGCACACCAACTGAAGTAGTTCAAGCCTTTTCTTGTTTTAATATCGATGATTTTGGCAAAAAAGTTAAGAAAAATCAAAAATCACTATCTCAAAAAATCAGCATATTTCATCCGACCAAAAAAATAAGTGTTTTTAATACAAAAAAAGTCAACCTTCAAATAATTATGTTCAGTTATGCACTCAATACTTGGTGGGGAATCCTTTTGCAGAAATGACTGCTTCAATGCGGCGTGGCATGGAGGCAATCAGCCTGTGGCCCTGCTGAGGTGATATGGAGGCCCAGGATGCTTCGATAACAGCCTTAAACTCATCCAGAGTGTTGGGTCTTGTGTCTTCAGCTCATCCAGAGTGTTAGGTCTTGTGTCTTAAGCTCATCCAGAGTGTTAGGTCTTGCATCTCTCAACTTTCTCTTCACAATATCCCGCAGATTCTCTCCGGGGTTCAGGTCAGGAGAGTTGGCAGGCCAATTGAGCACAGTAATACCATGGTCAGTAAAACATTTACCAGTGATTTTAGCACTGTGAGCAGGTGCCAGGTCGTGCTGAAAAATGAAATCTTCATCTCCATAAAGCTTTTCAGCAGATGAAAGCATGAAGTGCTCCAAAATCGCCTGATAGCTGCATTGACCCTGGCCTTGATAAAACACAGTGGACCAACACCAGTAGCTGACATGGCACCCCAGACCATCACTGACTGACAAGTCTTCTCGTTGTGCAGCGTTTTCTGCCACACTTTTTCCTTCCCACAGACTTCCCACTGAGGCGCCTTGATACAGCACTCTGGGAACAGCATATTCATTCAGAAATATCTTTCTGTGTCTTACCGTCTTGCTTGAGGGTGTCAATGATGGCCTTCTGGACAGCAGTCAGGTCAGCAGTCTKAMCCWTGATTGTGGTTTTGAGTAATGAACCAGGCTRGGAGTTTTYAAAAGCCTCAGGAATGTTTTGCAGGTGTTTAGAGTTAATTTGTTGATTCACATGATTAGGTTAATAAGTCTTCTAGAGAACCTCTTCATGATATGCTAATTTTTTGAGATAGGGATTTTTGATTTTTCTTTACTTTTTTGCCAAAATCATCAATATTAAAACAATAAAAGGCTTGAACCACTTCAGTTGGTGTGCAATGAATCTAAAATATGTGAAAGTATAATGTTTATCACTACATTACAGAAAATAATGAACTTTATCACAATATGCTAATTTTTTGAGAAGGACCTGTATAATGGGGACCTTCACTCAGGCTGTTTTTAGAATACTAGTCAAGTGACTACGTCCGCTCGACAGTGAGAGACTGGCTTTATTTTCTTGTTTGTGTTTTCACTGCCACTGTAAAACCAAACTCTGAATTTTGACATTCCTACATGAGCACTAAGAGAGTAACAGCATCGTTATCGGCTTTTTAATTGAGAAGGTTGGATTTTTATTTCTTATCTTATTGCGATCCAACCATATTTTAATAAATTGTGCAGGTCATGGACAGGGTCAGGTTGGGTTATGTGTGTGGGTGGGGGCATCTAACTGATTAGCTTTTGGCTTTGTAAGAATATAGAGCTGTGTCATCTGCATAAAGAAATATAAGGAAAGTTAAAGTTTTATTTGAAATAAAAGAGTTAATAATATTTGTCTTCAGGTGCATCACATGATGTGGAGACCCCGCCCCCAACCTCTCATTCAGCCCATTCCTCATTGTTACAACATGTACTACTGCTGGAGCAGGCCAGACAACAGACTGCTATGCTAGGTGCAACAAAMGCTCACACAAAATGTCCTGAATGTGCCACACACCTGTAGAATCTGCACTTACTCTGTTGGTTCTGTCCCCCGCCTCTCCCCTCCCCCCATTCAGGGCCCATGTACAGTCAGTCACCACTGGTCACCGCAGAAAGAGGTGTCAGTACCGGCATGCGGCCTGTCAACAAGCTGCCTCGCCACCGACCACTGGCCCGCACACAGAGCTCACCTTTACCCCAGTCCCCTCAGGCCCTGCAGCAGCTGGTGGTCCAGCAGCAGCACCAGCACTTCCTGGAGAAACACTACAAAGTACACATCGTCACTCCCAGCACACACTCACACTGACGGGCACATGTCAGCAAACTAACGTCACGTTGTGTATGTAGATGCTGTCAAAGGGGACAGACCTCCCCAGACCCCCACCCACCCACCCAGAAGAGATAGAGGAGGAGCTAACAGAGGCCAGTGACATGCAGGAGGACGAGGAGCCGGATCGCAACAGGTGCAGACGTCCTGAAAACTCATCATCTTTAAGTTCCTCGTTAAACTTTTCATCATTTATAAACACGTGGCTGCTTCTTTTCCTCCATTCAGACTTCAGAAGGAGGGATCTGACGACAGCACGCATTCATCCGAGCAGCTTGGCGTGCACGTGAAGGAGGAGGAGGAGCACAGGAGAATGCACATCAAAGGAGAGAGCACAGAGAGCGAGCTGGACGAGGACGACGAGGACGATGACGTCATCCAGCTGAGGGAGAGTGAGGAGGAAGAGAGGGGGAGCTATGTTCAGGTTTGTGTGAACGCAGGTTTTTTTCTGTGGATTTTGAGTGTTTTAAAACCAACATGTGGTTTTTTTTGTAACTCCGCTTCAATCAGGTTCAGAGATGCATCCATTCTGATTTAATGGGCTAATACCAATTTCCCATTTTTAWACAGCTCCAAACTACTGATACCAATGTTTCATGATTCTGATTTCTCTTGAAGAACTCTAATTAACAGAATATATGTGCTTTAAGTCTGAGGCTGGATGCATTATCATTTAAAATAATGTTAAAATTAAGATACAAACTGCGCAGGAGGAGGGGTGGTTAGTGATGTATTGGCTCTCCCAGTTGCAGTGATATGGTCATGTGTGAACACATACAGGCGTTTAAAAACTTATTACATGYCATGAACTCCATTGGGGGGTGGAGGGTTCTGTTGGAGTGGTGGGACATCCTCCTTGGATAATAGTTAGAGAAATGCTGCAGTTTAAACACAGTTCTAACCAAATACTAAGGAAATGGATTTAAACTTTGGCTTTAAAGAAAGTAAAAATATATCTAAAATTATGTTCCCTTTCATTATTTGGCCATTTATTCTAGAACCGTCCTTCCTAAAATGCCCAAAGCACCTGCAAAAAGTAGATTCAATTGAAATTGGATCCAATTGCTTTGGAGAGACCAYAGATTGATTCAGTTGGTCAAAACAGCGGAGCTTACAAAATCATTTTAACACCATTGTATTAAATTTGAAACCCCTTGCAGAATCTTCAAGGCCCTGTATTCAAATCTAAGTCAGCAGGGCCAGTTAAGGCATTAACAAATGATTTCAATTTTATTTGATAAAATGTAATCTTATTTGTTGTTGGACAGTGAGGAAAAACAGCTGACCTGTGGTGTGTTCACTGACTGAACAGMTGACCTGTGKTGTGTTCACTGACTGAACAGATGACCTGTGGTGTATTCACTGACTGAACAGCTGACCTGTGTTGTGTTCACTGACTGAGCAGATGACCTGTGGTGTGTTCACTGACTGAACAGCTGACCTGTGATGTGTTCACTGACTGAACAGCTGACCTGTGATGTGTTCACTGACTGAACAGCTGACCTGTGGTGTGTTCACTGACTGAACAGCTGACATGTGGTGTGTTCACTGACTGAACAGCTGACATGTGGTGTGTTCACTGACTGAACAGCTGACATGTGCTGTGTTCACTGACCGAACAGCTGACATGTTGTGTGTTCACTGACTG